GTTTCGGAGTATTACAATCAGTCAAAAATACGTTTATGATCAGGGCCTCAGATTTCGTTTTAGTCTAGGCTGAATCGTCAGTCTCTGGAGGATGCTATTGGCTGACCTATCAGTGTCTTGTTTGTTAAAAAAACTTACTTTTCAGTGGTACAAAAGCTGTTCAATTAGAGTCACCAAATAAAATAGGCTGAACGTTCTTTGGACTGTCCCACCTACAACAGCAAGCGTTTTATATCTTAGCCTTGAGAGAAGAACGGTGCATGAACTACGTATGCCATATCCTCATCAACATCATCTTCATCCTCATCATCGTCACTATCACTAGATAAGTCGAGAGCATCTACAGGCTTGGGGTGTTCTACTTCCATGGCTACAGCTTTCCCCTTCTTGCTGGGTTCTCTTGGGGTGGAAATGGGGGAGTTTGAAAACGGCTTCCTCTTCTTGTAGCTTCTCCAGATGTCCACCACCTCGTCAAACACCGGCTCATACGGCATCGGAGACAAGCACATCAAGTCACCCAGTCTTGCATCCTTCAGCCCACCTCGAAGCCACGACTTGATGACGTTTTGGCACGAGAAGCCCCTTTCGCACTCAACAGTGCTAAGGGGAATCACCGCAACTGCCACCCACAGCTGCACGAGGTTGGGGTAGCTCTTGCGCCAGTCTGGAGTCTTCAGGATCACGGTGAGGCCCTCGTGGAACGTCCGCTCCCCCTGTGGTGCAGTAGCAAGGATAGAGCAGAACAACCGAAGCTCCTTCTGTGCCTGTCGCTTGTTGATTCCTGAAAGGCGTAATAGTGGGTTTAGGGAGAGGCAAACAAGGCAGCATGAGCTACTAGGCTGAGTGTGAATCGTGGCACTAGGGAATGGGCAAACGGCAGTTACCAGAGGTAGAGCAACCGGGATGAACGATGGTTACTTTACCTAGCACGATCTCCTCCGAATCTTGAGCCTTGAACAGCAACCACTCCACACATCGTGCATGTCACTCCGGCTTGCCCTTCGGCCACTCATCAGGCATGAACAGCCTGACACCAGACAGTGAGTCCAGGTCACCCAGCCTCCTCTCCAGGTTCGTCATGATGCGTTCAGCAAAGTCGGTGCAGAGGTCAATGCATCCGTCGTGATCCGCAGGGCAATCATGCCCATCCACGGGGTTGCTGTGGAGCGTGAAGGTGATTTTCTCGGGTCGGCCGTCGGAGTAGACTCCCTCTACAGTCACGCCGCGCTTCTTTCCAGGACCGTAGCGCTCGATAAAGGGAGAGAGCCAGCGGCTCAAGCCACCGCCGAAGTCGTCCCCACAGTCGACGTATCGACTCTCCAGGTGTGAGTTCGTGCGCTTGATTTGAGCATGAAGAGAGATAAGATCCAACTGCCAATGGGAGAAAGGGGAGGAACACAGTGTCAGTATGGTAATTTCCGCGACAATGTAAAACATATTCAGTCAAACTGAATTACCTAGCGTTGCTGGAAGGACTTGTTCAGGAGGTTCAGGTGCTCAAGAACATCAGCCAGAAAGTACATGAAAAAAATGAAACGTGTACGAGGTGGCAAGCAGATACATAGCGAAATGGTACTTCTTGAGGAAAATCACAACTGCAGGCCACACGGCAAGGATGCAAAGTATGGCTTCACCCCGAGACAGCCACCGAACTTGGTATATGCCCTGGACTTCCAGACTTGTCTCTCTGAAGAGTTGTTGGAGGTCCATGAACTGTTGGTGCTTCGGGGCAGAGCGTCCCAGAAGGTCAGCCGTCACGCGGACGATATCGTCAACCATGTCGAAGACTGGTAGAGATTTGGCCGCCTCCTTAGCGGCAAGCGCCTCCCTGCTATGAAATATAAATGTATTAGAACTATGAACAAATAGACCGGGCAAGATGCAACAACACCCGCACCTGTGGGCGATGCAGTGACACGAGTACAAGGTGTGGGACCCTCTCTCGTAGGCGAACCACCAGTCCAGCTCGACTCCCCATCATCACCCCAGCACCGTCGGTGCTGATGCCCGTAATCCTCTACAATTCAATACCAACTGCCTGCAATTGAGAGAGCAGCAGACTCAACAAGGTGGATGCGTGAGCTTCCTCAACATTGATCATTTGCATAAACCCTGACACGAGTTTATGGTCGCGGATGAACGTGGCGTAAACTATAATGTGCTTGCCCCTGCAGCGATCGGCGCTTTCGTCGAGGCTGATGCCAATGAGCGGGCTTCGGAGAATGTGCTCCAGTTGAGTCGTTTGCAGCCAGGTTGCATTTGATTGCACGAGTTCGCCAGAGCCGTACCTGCCATGAATAAATTACATGGTATTAGCAAAACCGAGCAGTCAATGTTACGAGGACATATGTACTAAATACTCACATGGTGTATTAGGTCTCGTAACCTTTCTTTGGGAAACCTTGAACCCCCTTCTGCGCCAGATAATGCACCAACTTCACCCATGTCCCCATGGGTGCGTCGCACTGGCTAATGAACAGAAGCACGTCTAGCAATGATACAATACGGATCTTCTCAGCGTCGACAGCCGCACAATGCTCGTTAATGCGAGGCTGCGAAGTCGCGGCAGCAAGTAGGGCCTCCTGCTTCTCCAATGCCAGCTTGTGCTTCCGCGTCCCTGCGTGCTTGCGAAACGCTTGGGTCTGGACGGCAGTCGCACCTTTGCTGGCCCTGACACCAGCGTGCTTGGAGCAGAGACTTCATTTGAAAGCAAGCAGACCACGAACAGTTTTTTTAGGACAAGCCACGGAAACCTCTCTACCCACTTTGTTTTGTACTTCTCCAAAGCATCGGCATAGATAGTATTGACGAGCTCTTGCACGTTGATGTTCAGAGAAGGGCGTATGGTGGATTCAGTGACGTCAGGTTCAGAGACTGGGATGCTTGATGAAGACTTCCCGAAACTCAGCCGTTGCTGCTTGAGTTTGACTTTGCGCGGAGTGGACAATTTTGATGCCAACGTCCCGACGAGAACTGTGTCGGAAACACCAGCACGCACAGAAGTGTGTGCCCGTATAGAATCTAGGCTAGAAGGCTCGACAGGTGTCTCAGGAACTGGAGGATCTGGATCTGGTGTGGTTGGCAGTGGAGGTTGAATATGGCGGCCTAGAGAGCTAAGAAGAAGATCGAGGCCCGTACGGGCTTCCTCGATGGTGTCAGCGTCAGCGCCATCTAAATCCGCTCCGTCCTCGTCGTCGGAAAGGGTGTCGCCATGGCCAGCCATGGCGGAACATCGAAGAGAGAGTGTGCCGGGCACTTTCTTGGGTTAGCGGAGAATGAACTGAACCCCTGGCGAGGATGGATGTGTTGGGGTGTGCCTGCAGGAACAAGATGGGATGGGGGTAATCAAGAAGGAGCTGGTGAAGAAGGGTGTGTTGCAAGGCGACGCGCTGGTTGCCAGCATGCACAAACCTGGTTGCAGGTTCGGGGAGGGTGCTGTGGGGGTGGTTGCCTAGTCGCGCGGCAACAATGTGCTTGAGTGTGCTGTGCTGTTGCATCGTGCGTGCGCGATGCTGTTAACGTGACATTCGCCAGAAAGTGATGTGGTTGCCTAAACAACCAATCACGAACGAAGAGACCTGCGCTCGACGACAGCAGTGCAAGGTAAGTGCGGGAATGATGCCACTTGTCAGAATCTCAGCCACTGACCACTGGGATAAAATGACTTGTTTGTGTAGCGGGTGAGTGCGCGCACAACCCCCCAGGCCAGCGTGCCTGTAACCTTTCCCTAGGATCAATCAAGGATCACCAGTGGACCTCTGACACCCCCCCGCACTGGGATGCCCGAGGTGCACACACCGGGATTCGAACCAGAGACCTTTGCTCTGATACCATGTCAGAATCCTAGCCACTAACCACTGGGGTAAAGGGGCTTGTTTGTCTAGCGGGTGAGTGCATCCATAACCCCCCAGGGTAACGTGCTTGTAACCCTTCCCTATGATCAATCGCGGATCTCCAATGGACCTCTGACACCACTTCCTAGTGCGTTGGCGGGGAATCTTGACATCTCGCCGTGATTGACGGGGGGTCGGTCCTTCCGGTGTACCTTGATAGCCGGAATTCAAGGCATCTACGCGAATCCCCTTTAAAGCGATTTCAGCCCACCCCCTCGAGGCAACTCTGATCAGTCAGTGTGTAGTACATAGAAAAAACTGAAAATTCAGTGAATATGTGTTTAAAAAAAAAACTGAAATTTCAGCCAACACCTTTAAAAAATGCTGCCACATCAGCCCCACTATCTCCCCAGCACTGAAAACTTACCTCTAATCGGCCTTTTTTCGCTGACTTCTGAGGGCGTGTTTGTGACACATTCTTTTTGGACATGTCGCGTCCGAAATGTACCCTTACTCACGTATTTTCAACTTTCAAGGCGAATCATTGTGTGACCATACGCGATAGAGTCGTGAGGCAGTGTGTGACTATCCCTAATAATCGTTTGATGTGACAGCCGAGTGACGATGTTTGTGACTTCCTACCCTCATCACCCGGATATAAGGCAGTGTTGAATAGAAGACAGGGGGTGTCCTTAAAGCGGGTGTCTCTTATAAATAGGTGTTCCTGATTATAAGACATCTGTAGGTGTGTACGAGTTAAGGCAGTGTCTTCTAAACAGTCCCGTAACAATGGGTGTATGACTTCCTGATCTGAAAGTTCACCAAGCAAATCGCGCGGTGTGAGTTTATACTGAGGTGCATGATAAACAAATGTGATGTATAGTAACGGGCTTACGCATTTGGTGTGACAATGCTAATTCTTACCCTTTTTTTTAACCGTTTTAGCACAACACCTAGGGTAGCACATATGGGGGATTACAGGTAGGTCGTAACCAATTCATTAGCGCTAGAAAGCAAAGGAATGCAGGCAGCTAGACAGGCATAAAAGCATTGCGTTCTCTCAAGCCCAACTGCCTCTTCCTGCTTTGGCGGCAGGATGGGGTTACATTCAGAAGTTTTTTAGATGCAACGGAGAGATTACTGCATCCAAGAACGAAGGCATCACCCTCAGAAGTTCCTGAGCACGCGCTTGGCCTCGCGGACGCCGGAGAGCAGGGCGCCGTGCACGGTGGCCTGGTACTGCCAGATGGTGTGCTCCCCCGCAAACAGCACCCTCCCCTCGGGCAGCGCCATCACATCATAGTCCGTGCAGTGATCCTCGTTCCCCCGCACGCCCACGCGCGCATAGCTGTACGCCCCCCGCGAATACGGTTCGGCGGTCCAGCGCTGGATCCAAGTGGCCAGTGGCTCAAGCGGCTTCTTGCGGTACTGCGGGAACATGCGCGCCATCTTCGCCTTGGCGTCTTTAATCACCTCCTCATCGCTCATCGTAGCCATTCTCACCGCATACTCCCCCAGAGCCACTCCCTCCAAAGCCGTCTGCCCCCACGCGCGCTTCAGGTTCACCCAATCCACCCACCGCCCGCGATTTGCGGGCAGCTGCGCATCCTCGATGAAATATTCGTCCACGTTGACCGGCCAGAAGGTCTGGTTGAAGAAGAAGAAGATCTTGGCGATTGCGCCCACTCCCAGGCGGGCTATGGCGCCGGTTTTACGGGGGGGGAGCGACGGAGAGAAGGCGATGGTGTTGGCCTTGAGCACCCCGAGAGGGATGGTGACGATCACCACGTCGGCGTCCAGCGTGCCGGTGGCGCCACTGGCGGTGTTCTTTCCCGTGATCTGCACGCCTGTGGAGGACTGCGAGATGGCCGTGACTTCAAAGTTGAGGAGCAGCTTTGCTCCTTTTCCTTGCGCTTCCTGTGATGTCAGTCGATGGGTGGGCGTGGAAGTGGGGTTTGGGGGAGTGAGAGAGTTGGAGTGGGAATAAGAGTTAGAGAAAACGTAATTGTGACAGGCAGTTGGGATATGTGTGGGACAAGTGCGACATGAAGACATGGGAGACGAGTGGTGAGGGACAGGAGACGAGTGGGAGATGAGTGGGCGGGGTATGGGAGACGGGTAGGTGAGTGGGTTATGGGAGATGGGTAGGTGAATGGGGTATGGGAGATGGGTAGGTGGGTGGGGTATGGGAGATGGGTGGGTGGGCATGGGAAACAGGTAGGTGGGTGGGGCATGGGAGACGAGTGGGTGAGGAATGTGGGGCACGATACAAGGAATGAGGCGAGCTCCTGCAAGCTACACCTGTCTGGACGGATGAGTGGAACGCCCCATTCCCACCACTCCCACTCCCACTCCCTTTCTCACTCCCCCTCCTACTCCCACTCCCCCTCCCCCTCCCACTCCCCCTCCCACTCCCACTCCCACTCCCACTGCCCCTCTCCCTCCCACTCCCACTCCAACTCCCCACCTCACCTGCATGAGCATCTTGGGGATGTTGTCGTAGCCGTTGGTAACCACCATGGTGGGCGGGTCGAAGGCATCGGAGTCGTAGTACCATGCTGACAGGTGCGAGAGGGCCGTGCCGAAGTTGAACTCGTAGTCCACTGCCAGGCGAGACTGGGGAGGGACAGGTGAACACAACAGGAGATATGAGACAAGGGGTGAGTGAGAAAAGGGTAATCACGAGGGGGGGGGGATGGTGGTATGAGGTGGGTGTGAGAGGGCCGTGCCGAAGTTGAACTCGTAGTCCACTGCGAGACGGGACTGCGGTGCAGAGAGGGACAGGGAAACGGAAGGGATATGAGAGAGACAAGGATAACCACATGCCCAGATGGGGGTATGAGAGACGTGCGAGATGGCCGTGCCGAAGTTGAACTCATAGTCCACCGCCAGGCGAGACTGGCGGGGGACAGGAAAACACAACAGGAGATATGAGACAAGGGGTGAGAAAGGGAAATCACTGGGGGGGGGGGGGGGGGGGGGGGGAGGATGAGGAGGGTGTGAGAGGGCCGTGCCGAAGTTGAACTCGTAGTCCACTGCTAGGCGAGGAGAGGGAGAGGGAAACACCACAGGAATGTAAAAACAACCGGCTTTAACAACCTTCCACCCCCCCTCTTCGCCCGCCCTTCCTGCACTCACCCATACCCTGCCCCACCCCAATCTCTCCCCCAGTCCTCCCCTCCCCCCTTCCGTCAAACCTTGCCACACGCACACACCATTCTTCGGGCCACTCCCTTTCCCGCTCCCAATCCTTCCCTCTGCCCTTTCCCCTCCCCTTCCCCCTGCCCTTCCCCATTCCCTCCTTCTCTCCCACATCCATTTCTTCCCCTCCTACTTCGCATTACCTGAGCATAGGGCTTGTAGAACATCTTTCGCTTCCAAGGCCCGCTAGTGAACGCCTGCTGCAGGCTCACATCCTTGTTCTGCTTGCCCGCCCAGGCCAAGGCTTGCCGTACTAACGTCTGATACTCCGCCTCCGCTGCCGCCCACTCCGCGTCCCCGTACCTCCTCCCCTTGGCTGTGAATTGGATTTCCCGCCCGTTCTGCTGCGCAATGTTGAGCTTGAATTTCCGAGCCAGAGTGGTTACCGGGTTACCTGAGGCAGGAGGGGCAGACGGGCAAAGGAGCAGCACAGGGAAGAGGAAAAGAAGGCGGAAGGGGAACGAGAGGCGGAAGGGGAAGGGGAAGGGGAGGGCGGAAGTGGAAGGGGAAAGGGAAGGCGGAAGGGGAGAGGGAGGGGGAAGGGGAAGGCGAAGTGGAGGAAGTGGAAGGGGAAGGGGAAGGGGAAGGGGGAAGGGGAAGGGGAAGTGGAAGTGGAAGGGGAAAGGGAAGAGGAAGAAGAAAGGCAGGAGAAAGTGGAATGGAGAAGGGAGGGAAGAGGGCAGCAGGAGGAGAAAGGAAGTGGCAAGGGATTGGTGAGGAACGCTCAGTTTGGAGAGTGTGGGAAGGTTTGAAGTGTGGGGAAGTTTGGAGTGTGGGGGAGATTGGAGTCTGGTGGTGGTAACCAGGTTACCTGTGGCGCCCTCGATCCACTGTGCGCCCATCTCGCCTCGCAGGAACGTCGTGGGCGAGCCGGCAGGGGCGGCCTCCGTTCGGCTCCACATGCGCCCGCCCACCCTTCCGCGCGCCTCCACCACCGTCACCTGGGGGGAAGAGGGGGTAGGGGGTGGGGCAGGGGGTGGGGGTAGCTAGTAGAGATCAGAGGCCGATAGGGTCCAATTGCAACAGCCCCGCCCACCCTTCCGCGCGCCTCCACCACCGTCACCTGGGAGGGGGGGAAGGGGGGTGGGGGAGAGACAAGAGGCCGTTAGGGTCCAACTAAAAGGCAAGAGCCCATCCTGCCGCACGCATCCAGCACGGTCACCTGGAGAGGAGGGGGGTGCTGGGAGAAGAGGAGAACAGGAAGAGCTGAGATGAGAGGCTGTTAGGCTCCAGTAGCCCACCTGCCGCGCGCCTCCACCACCGTCACCTGGAAATGGGGAGAAGGGGGGGTTAAGGGGGAGAAAGAGATCAGAGGCTAATGTTCAAAGGCAACAGCGCAGCCCACCCTGCCGCCGCGCCCCTCCGCCACAGTCACCTGAGGGGAGGGGAGGGGGGCGGAGGAAAAAAAGGGCGAAAGAGGGAAAGAGGGGGGAGGGAAGGAGGGGCAAGGGAAAATTAAGGGAGATGAGAAGACCTGCCGTACCTGAGGGGAGGTGGGGGGTGCAGGGAGGGGGATCAGGGTAGAATCACGGGAATCAGATGGTCAGAACCCGCTGTACGAAAGGATAAAACACAGAAAAAGACGCGCATAGAATGCGCGTATGAATTTAGACGTCAACGAACGTGTCAACAAATCCGTCACGCTGAGGCGATCATCGTGCACAGCGCCCCGATTATCCGCATTTTATCTTGCACGGCCGTCGAACGTACATTGAAGCATTCGCCGCCGCTGTGAGTGACGATGCGGTAAGCAGCCGAAACGCCCGACATGCCCGCGCCGACCACCACCACCTGCCGCACGCGCGAGCACGCCGCGTCCGCCGCTCGCGGCACGAGCAGCGCCGCCAGCAGCAGCGGCACGAGAAGCGACAGAGCATTGTGATGGCGGCCCTGCGACGACGAAGACGACCATCGCGACGATCGCGAAGATCGCAGCCGTAGCGCCGCCTTGAAGGCGGCGGGACTCGCACGAGAGGCGGCGCGGCTAGTAGGTCTTCGTGAATTGCTGACGCGCGACAACGGCATTGCGACGGCGCGTCGCTGAGAAGAATGGCAGGGGTGTAGGCCTAGAGAGGAACGGATGGAAATGAGACAGTCGCTGAGGTGCAGGCAGCGAAAGGGATGCTGTTCGCGGGACGCCGCCACAAGCTTGCAAGCTGGTCGAAAATCTGGGAATTGCAGGGAGACACAGACAGACGCTCGGTTCAAGTGGTTCTGTTGGTTGGGAAGTAGAGCGATTGGGCAAGTGTGCACACAAGGGAGCAATTTTTATGTGGTCGTAATTGCGTGCACAACACACGGTAACCCATTTCGCCCCCCTGCTATGGTGCGCGACCCGACCGAACCGAACCGAATGGTGCTCTTTCCTTGTTCGTCCAAACCAAACCAACAAGCTGGACCATGGGTGGCGAAAATTGTAGAAACAGGCTGGGAATGTCGGGGAAGTTGGATCGCAGGGAATGTCGCGATTCGCGAAGGGGCCACTGAATTGGGTTTTCTCTGATTTTCCTCAGGTCCCTCAGTGTTCTGTTCCCGCCCAGCTTCCCCATGCCTTGGCAAGGGGATGTGTGTGTCCAGCGCAGCAAAGCCTCAGATACACCATACCCGTTACAGCCGTATTGGTTGACAGTACAGCACCATGTTGTTTCCTTAGATATTTTTATATGTGAAATTTAACTGTATATAAGGCAAGACGCGAAGCCCGAAATGTAACTCGTTTCTACCCTATCCGTCACACAGTCACAATCCGTCGTGGCTGCTTCTGGCTGCGCCAGCACACATCCCCCACACCACTTCCGAAGCACAAATTCCCTCCCTTTTCGTCACATCACAAATTCCTTCTTTCCGTCAAGCGCACATCTACCCCTCGATACTGTCGCAGGGTACTGGTTACCACATCTTTTCCATCACCCTTCTCACCCCTTACGAATCCCTCCGCTTTCTTAGTTGTTGGTCAAGTAGCCTACTTACCACTTCCCTCTGTTCTCTAGGGGTCTGACACCAGAGCGACCGCATTCAGGGCAGTCGGACTTAGTCGTTTCCAGACGTACCCCGAATTAGGTTTCGCCACCATGGCTGCCCTTCAATCTGTCGCTCTGACTCCTCTCACCGCGGCCCCTAGCGCGTCGCTCGATAAGACCTCCAGGCACGTCCCTCGGTTAACCTCCACTTACAGCTCGTGTTTCATTTCCTAACTAGGCTTTTTTTCGCTGTATTGTACAGCCCTAGTGTTCAGTCAACCCTAACTCTTATCCATATCGGCTTTCCCGCCTATTTGGCTTCGCATAGCACGTTACTGATAACGCGTTGTTCCTCGGCCGTTGTGCTCTGTTCCTCTGGAATGTTCTGGCTAACAGCGAGTTTTGGGGAAGCCGGACGTCCTTGAGCCTTCCCGCCAGGAGAGATGGCGCCGTCTGCGCTAGAATGCCCAAGGTCAGGAATCCTTGGGTCTAAACCGGCCACGCAAAGGAGAGTCTTTGACCTTTCTGGGCATGTGGAATGACATCACCCACTTTTAGACAACCAGCATTGTTCTTGTTCTCTCGTTAAAATCTGTTTTGGGACGTCTCAAAGCCTAACGTGCATTGTCCTTGTTATCAAGTTCGATGCATCATATGCTGTGACCTTCTGCCCGCCTGGTCTTTCCCCCACCCAACTCGAGACCAGGCATGGCTGTCCTTCAGTCGACTCTCTCAGCCTAAGATTCCACCGTTTCTCACATTGTGGATGATGATATTCCACCCCACATCTCGAGTCACTCACTTCTCCTCACATTGTGGACGCAACTCCTTGTTCTCGCACTCGGATTTCCCTGTGTGCGTTTACGTCGAGATGATAGTTCCTCGCGAATTGAATGCGCATACGGCGGAGAAGGTCACGGACGTAACGAAGCCAGATTGACGCGTCGTGACATCTGTGTTCAATGCATTCTTTACTTCCGTGTGTCAGGTCGAGATGGCCATTTCTCGCAAGAAGAAGGAGCAGACGGTCGAGAAGGCCCGCCAGCAGCTCGAGAACTGCAACCTCGTCGCCAGCATCAACTACAAGCGATTCACGGTAACCCGTTTCGCCATGTTTTTCGTTAGACATGGTTGTTAAAGTTGAGCTGAAACAACAGAAACTAGAAAGATACGAAGTCGTCGCCAGCATCAACGAGAGACTAGTTTCACGGTGTATTGTCTTGCAAGGAGCGGAATGCACCGTGAACGGTCAATGCGGTCGTTGCGAACCAACGGCTGACCAAAGCGGAACGATGAATCGTGACCGTCGATGTTGAGAGGGACATGCAATTCGGCCGACGATAGAGACGCGGCTTCCAGCGATTAGGGTTTAGAAGGGAGCGTATTGGCGATGCCGGCTTTGAGGGAGATGATTTCAAGTCAACGGCTAGTTTGAGGATGGGCTCAGTAGATTAGTTGGCAATGGGCGGCTGGATGGATATGGTGCGAGATTGCGCCACGTCAGCTGCGCATGATTGGTGGCCTAGAGATCGACGGCAACGGAGGGAGAGGCGGCGTGCAAAAGGGAGGGAGCCGAGGTGGATGAGGGGGGCCGTGGGGGGAAGAGGGTAGCCGAGGTGGGGGGAAGCGGAGGGAGGAGAGTGGAGGGGGAGCGAAGGATATTTTGAAACTGAGTTGTGGGGGAGTGGGGAGATTGAGGGCGAATCGAGGGGGAAAGGATGCAGGAAGCGCAGATGGAGTTGAGTCAGCAGATAAGAGTCGATTTTTCGCGCCTGATAATCGGAGCTAATTATTGACTGGACCGAAAATCACGAGTTGATGGAGCAGATAGGGTCTAGTTTTGGAGCAGATAGGGTCTAGTTTTGGCGCCTAGGACAATGGTAGCAGGTGAACCCGTCTGGCGTTTCTCGCGTCACTCTAAGAATTCTCAGATTCCCAAGGTGCAGGGTAGGGTTAGAGGACTCATTTGATGGAGGACTGGCAGAGTCGAAAGCGGAAGTGAAAGGGGGAGTCGAGGGGGAGCAGAGGGGGAGCGGAGGGGGAGCATAGGGGGGCGGAAGGGGGGGAGCCGAAGGGGGGAGTCGAGTAGAAAGGAGCCGAGAGGGGAGCGGGAAAACAGCCGGAGGGGATCTTGGGGGTGTGCTGGCGTTCGCACGGCGTGCGGATAGCGATCGCGGTGCCGCGTACAAGCGTCCTGTCTCTGCGCTTTTCGTGGCGAACCGGGGAGAGCCTAGGGGGGGAGTACAGGGGGAGTCCAGGGAGAACCCTGGGGGAGTCCAGGGGGTTTCAGGGGAACCGAGGGGAAACTGGGAATTTTGCGGATAGCGATCGCGGTGCCACGTACGAGCGCCCTGACTCTGCATATTTCGTGGCGAACCGAGGGGGAGCCTAGGGGGAGTTCAGGGGGAGCCTATGGGGAGTTTAGGGGGAACCTAGGGGGAGTTTAGGGGGAACCTAGGGGGAGTTTAGGGGCAACCTAGGGGGAGTTAAGGGGGAACCTAGGGGGAGTTTAGAAGAGCCCAGGTGGAGTCCAGGGGGGTCCTGGGGGAGTCCATGGGGAGTCTAGGGGGGTTGGGGGGCCGAGAGGGAACTAAGAAGCTTGCGGATAGCGATTCCGGTGCCACGTACGAGTGTCTTGTCTCTGCGTTTCCCGTGGCGACGTTAACCCGCGAATGGTGAATCGAGGCGCCGTTGAAATAGCGTTCGCGGGTCACACACGAGCATATCCCCGTCTTCTTACCTGACAGCCAGTTATGAGAGCTAATTGCCTCGGTTTATAGGTGCTTCGCTCGGTTCACTCCTCCTCCTCCTCCTCCTCCTCCTCCTCCTCCTCCTCCTCCTCCTCCTCCTCCTCCTCCTCCTCCTCCTCCTCCTCCTCCTCCTCCTCCTCCTCCTCCTCCTCCTCCTCCTCCTCCTCCTCCTCCTCCTCCTCCTCCTCCTCCTCCTCCTCCTCCTCCTCCTCCTCCTCCTCCTCCTCCTCCTCCTCCTCTTCCTCCTCCCCCTCCTTCCCCCCCCTCCCACCCGTCCCCCTTTCCCTCCCCCCTCCTTTCTGCCCCCCTTCCGCAGGTCAAGCAGATGTCGGACCTTCGCAGGAAGCTTCCCGAGAGCACGTCGCTGGTGGTGATGAAGAACTCGCTACTGGAGAAGGCTATAGAGGGGACGGAGTTCGAGGCGCTCAAGCCGGCCATGACGGGCATGAACGCCTTTCTCTTCGTCCACGGCGAGGAGATCCCGCCTGCTCTCAAGCCCTTCAGGTACATACAAGTAGTCGCTGGGAGCATTCAGTTCGCCTCTCGCACTGGGGGTCACAACCACAGGCACTCAAGCCGGCCATGACCGGCATGAACGCCTTTCTCTTCGTGCACGGCTAGGAGATCCCTCCCGCGCTCAAGCCCTTCAGGTACATGTTTACAGAGCGGATAAATTAGTAACCCTTCAGGTACCAAATTGTTCCCCTGGCGCCTCAAACGATACGGGCGCTTGTTTCCCTGGGGAAACATTCCGTCACTCTTCATTTGTCTTTGAAATTTCTCAAAAGGGAGATCCCTTGCGCTTTCAAACCCATGAGGTGCACAAGAATCTGCGCCTGCGCTGATGGTGTTGAGATACTAGTATTCCAATTACCTCTCACCTTACAGCTACTGAAGACATCCACCCCCCCCCCCCCCCCCCCCCCCCCCTTTTCTCTCCCTTTCCCCCCCGTGCTCCAACCCTTCAAACGTTTGAGACGTCTCCTTGATTTTGAGACGCCTCTCTCCCCCCTCCCACCTCCTTCCCCCCACTTTCCCCCTTCCCCCTGCTCTTCCCCCCCCCAATTCCTCCCCCCCCCCCGCCCCCTCACACCAGGGAGCTGCAGAAGGAGTTGAAGCTGGAGGAGAACGACTTCACATTCTGAGCTATTTCCACCAGAGTCGCTCAACCAGCTATCAGCATGTTTCCGCCTTCCCCCTCCCTCTCCTCATCCCCCTCCCTCCCCAACCCCCCCCCCCCCCCCCCTTTTCCCCTTTCAGGGATCTGCAGAAGGAGTTGAAGCTGGAGGAGAACGACTTCACAGGCGCCGTGTTTGAGGGCAAGTTCTACAGCCCCGCAGACATGGCCGCTCTTGAGACGCTGCCCAGCCGTGCTGAGGTGTACTCGAAGCTGCTGGGCGTCATGCAGTCGCCCGCTAGAGACGTGGTTTCCACCCTCCAGGTGCGTACTGTGCTTGTGTGAATGCATATGGAAGGATGGAGGAGGGCTGGGTGGGGGAGGAGGGAGGGGGGGATGGGTGGGTGGGTGGTATCTGGTCTTTGAGTGAAGGCGTAAAGGAAAAAACACTGCCCAGCTGTGCCGAGGTGTCGACCCTCCAGGTGCATCCTGTGCTTGTGTGAATGCATATGGAAGGATGGAGGAGGGCTGGGGATGGTGTGGGAGGGAGGTGGGGAGAAAAGGGGGGGGGGGGGGGGGGGGGGGGGGGGGGGGGGGGGGGGGTATCTGGTCTTTGAGTGAAGGTGAAAAGGAAAAACGCTGCCCAGCCGTGCCGAGGTGTACTCGAAGCTGCTGGGGGTCATGCAGTCGCCTGCCAGAGACGTGGTTTCGACCCTTCAGGTGTTTGCAGTGCGTTTGTGTATGTATGTCTGGTTGGAGGGAGGGAAGGTGGAGGGGGGCGGGTTTGGTGTTTGAGTAAAGGCGCTCGAGATGCTACCCGGCCAGCCGTGCCGAGGTGTACTTGAAGCTGCTGGGGGTTATTTACTCGCCCGCCAGAGACGTGGTTTCCAACTGCCAAGTGTGAGTAGTGCATGTGTGTGCGCAAGTGTGCGTGCATGTGTAAGTGCCTCATGGTGTTGCCCAGCTGTGCCGAGGTGTACTCGAAGCTGCTGGGGCTCATGCAACCATCGGCTAAAGGGGGTGGAGAGGGGGGGGGGGGTGTTGGGAAGTATGGATTTTAAGTGAAGTCGCTCGGCACTGCCAGCTGTGCTTGCTTGGCGCAGAATGCAAGAAAACAAAAGCTTTCCAACGCACAAATGTATTCGGAGCTTCAAGTCCAAACCCAGGCGGGACAAAGTGTGCTCCTAGCTGCTGAGAGGGATGCAAGTCGTGTGAGATGCTTGTGTCACGTGCAGAAACGCAAGGTTTTCCGAATCATGAATATATTTTGTAACACTCGGTGCTGAGCCCCTTACCTCCTCTCCTTCCCCTGTGCAGGCGCCTGCTCGCGATTTGATCTTCACCCTCAAGGCCCATGTGCAGAAGCTGGAGGAGGCCGAGGGCAGCCAATGATTGCCTCCCTGCTGCAACCAATCACATGCATTTGTTCAGCCTGTCCTAGGAACTGTCCAGCCTGTAAGGCACTAATGAGACGGGAGTCACGTGCCTGTTACAGAACGTACAGATCAGATGTCTTTCAAGTGTACATCATGGGTATAAAATAGGGACTCTCCGCAATTATGTACACCCATCTTGGGACAACTGAGAAATGGTGAGTTGGGGTGCTGAGATCAGTTTACTAAGTGAAATCTTTCTTGTAGCGTTCACCAAATTGCGCTTTAGGCAGGACAGTCACACTACAGTAACATGCGTGTACCATGATAGTGTAAACGAACTTCGTTTGTCGTCGCGGGTGATGGCTGCGCGACCGTGTAACGAGGTGGCGAAAGCTTGCGTGCCTGCTCAGATCAGACACGTCAACCAACCACATCCTGCCATGCCGAGCCGACACGGGCTTGATAGTTCCCCAGCAGACGAGGCTGTCGAGAGTGGTACAGTGCGATATCGCGTATAGTCCCAGGGTTTTGAGAGATTAAGAGCCTGGTTCCTGGACAAACTGTCAAGGGGGCGAGGCAAGAGGTGTGCTTGAAATTTGAAGAATGTTGGTGGCAAATCGCCAACCCCAACCCAATCCACAAAATGCTGCATGCTTTCCGCTTCATCTTACAGCCGCAGTTGTAATTAGTGCCCCTACAGAAGTGCGGACTGCCACGGTTAATTCCTAATAAACCGCTCTCAACCATATTAAATGATGGTAGTAGTGGGTCAAGAAAGGATCTCCCAACCCAACTTCAATTTTTATCTGGGGTGGATGGTAGATTGAGAGCAAGGCGCTGAGGTGTTTGGGAACAAGCAGGGCAGAATGGAAAAGCCAAGCTTTAGGGAAACCTTGCGGTGGTCGATGCGAGAGACTTACGGTTTCGTGAACCAGTGGCCATTTATCAGTCACAATTTCCAGAAAATGCACTTGCACCATGCAAATTTAAAGTCGGCGCGAACTTGCACTCCCAAGGCAGAGCCTCTCGTTCCCTAGGTCCCCTCGCGTCTCAGGCCTAGCATTCCGCCCGCTATCCCCAACGACTTTACGCTCTACTACTATTCCGTTCCCCGTTTAAATTCCTTGCTAACTTCGACAATCACTCCAAATCGCCTTCCTCGGCGCTCGTTCGGGCAGTTTCCAGCGTTTCCCCCCTCCCATCCAATTTCTCGTTCTTCTCCCATTCGTCGCCAGCATCACCCTAAACTTTTGCCCCGATACGTTCAACTTAAATGCCAATGCAGCGACGGCAACGCTTGAGATCGGTGCAACGCGGCTTTCGGCCTAGACGCTGCAGGGAACAATGCTCTCATGGTCACCACGGTAGACGGCAACCGGGCTGTGCTCTTCCGCTTATCGTGCCGCTGCTGCTGCTGCTCGCTGCGCTGCTCGTGCCGCTAACGGCGGACGCGGCGTGCTCATCGGTGCGGCAGGTGGTGGTGGTGGGCGCGGGGATGTCGGGCGTTTCGGCTGCTTACCGCATCGTCACCGCCACCAACGGCGAATGCTTCAAGGTAACACTTGAAGGCCGTGCAAGGTGAATGCTGAGGTCGGGCCTTTCACGATAAACGCTTTCGTTTCACGAATATATTGACACGTTTATTGAAACGTTCATTGACGTTTCTGTATATAATCTCGCACTATGCGCTTCTTTTTCCTGTGTGTCCTTCCTTCGTGCAGCGGCTTTGACCATCCGTTCCCCTCGCCTCGTTCCCTTCGCCCCTGCTCCTCTTTCCCCGCTCAACCCACCCCCCCCGAGTTGACGGTGGTGGGGCCACGCGGCAGGCCTTCTCATCTCATCCTCTTGTCCCTTCCTTGTCGCCCTTCCCCACCTTTCTTTTTCCCCTTCCCCCACTCCCACCCCCCAGGTGACGGTGGTGGAGGCGCGCGGCAGGCAGATCTTCTCATCTCTTCCCCTTCTCCCTTCCCCCTTGTCCCCTTTCCCACCTCTTCTTTCCCGCCCCTCCCCCTTCCTCCCAGCCCAGGTGATGGTGGTGGAGGCGTGCGGCAGGGTGGGCTGGGCTGTTGTTGCATGTGGTCTCTCGTCTCTTTCCTTTCCCCCCTTTCCCCCTCTCTCCCAGTTGACGGTGGTGGAGGCGCGCCGGGCGCGGAAGGGTGGGCGGGGCTGTTGCAATTGGACCCTATCGGCCTCTGATCTCTACTACCTACCCCCACCCCCTGCCCCACCTCCTACCCCCTCTTCCCCCCAGGTGACGGTGGTGGAGGCGCGCGGTCGGGTGGGCTGGGCTGTTGTTGCATGTGGTCTCTCATCTCTTTCCTTTCTCCCCTTTCCCCCCTTCCACCCACCCCCCAGGTGACGGTGGTGGAGGCGCGCGGAAGGGTGGGCGGGCGCATGTGGAGCCGAACGGAGGCCGCCCCTGCCGGCTCGCCCACTGCGTTCCTGCGAGGCGAGATGGGCGCACAGTGGATCGAAGGCGCCACAGGTAACCGTAACCAGGTTACCATAACAGGCAACGGGCAACCTGGTTACCACCAGGCACAGGTAACGTGGTTACCACTGCCAGGGTAACCCGGTTTCCACTGCATACAACACGTAACCCACCTACCATCGCCAGAGGTAAGCTGGTAACCGCCCTTCTTAACCCTCGTTCCATCAGCCCTTTCTCCAACAGAACTCCCTTTTCCTTCCCTTTCGCTCTCACCCTTTCCCCTTTCTCTCCACTTCCGCTTCTCCTTCCCTTTCCCTGTGCTTCTCCCCCTGCCCCTGCCCTTCTGCTCCCCCTGCCCCTGCCCTTCTGCTCCCCCTGCTCCAGGTAACCCTATTGCCGCCCTAGCTCGAAAATTCAAGCTTAGAATTGGGCGGCAGAACGGGCGGGAAATACAATTCACAGCCAAGGGGAAGAGATACAGGGATCCCGGGTGGTCGGCAGCGGAGGCGGAGTATCAAACGTTGGTACGGCAAGGCTTGTCCTGGGCGAACAGACAGGACAAGGATGTGAGCCTGCAGCAGGCGTTCACCAGCGGGCCATGGAAGCGGCGAGTGTTCCTCAAGCCCTATGTGCAGGTAGTGTGGTTGTGGGAGGGTAGAGGGGGCAGCGGAGAGATTGGGGCGAGCAAGGTATGGGTGAGTGTTCCTCAAGCCCTATGTGCAGGTAGTGTGGTTGTGGGAGGGTAGAGGGGGCAGCGGAGAGATTGGGGCGAGCAAGGTATGGGTGAGTGTTCCTCAAGCCCTATGTGCAGGTAGTGTGGTTGTGGGAGGGTAGAGGGGGCAGCGGAGAGATTGGGGCGAGCAAGGTATGGGTGAGTGTTCCTCAAGCCCTATGTGCAGGTAGTGGGGGGGTTGAGGGTGGGTGGGAGGGTAGAGGGGTACGGGGAGAGTGAGGGAAGAGGGGAAGGTGGAAGAGAAAGGGTAAGGGGAGTGGGAAGGGGAGTGGGAAGGGGAGTGGGAAGGGGAGTGGGGAGGGGAGTGGGGAGGGGAGTGGGGAGGGGAGTGGGAAGGGGAGTGGGGAGGGGAGTGGGGAGGGAGGGGACAGGGGAGGGAAGTGGACACCAGTTAGGTGCCATTGCTTTAATACGTGGCAGCAACTTGGGTTCAACACCTGTAAAATGTCAGTAGTACTTTGTAAAAAATGCTTGTATAAAAATCACGGTGGTAACCGGTTTCGGCTAAAATGCCTTCTTCAGACCACAAGCGATCTACTGAACGCGTACTACTTTATATGCCTAGAAAATGTCATCCTAGACTCAGGCCCGCGCGGGAAATCTTCGCTGCGGCGAGTACGGGAACAACAGGCAAAAGCGAGATGAGAGAAAAAGTGTAACAGCAACAAAACTACTGTAGTCTAACACTTATTAGCAGAAATCAAATTACTGCCAACTCTCTTAGGTAATCTCCATGCGATTATAGCTCTCCTTGATGAAAAAATGTCGTGTGCCATAGTAACGAGGTGACTTTTGAGTCGACTCAAAAGTTTCCCCATGTGCGAACGGTCAACCAGCGGGTTGAGAAGCGATTTCAGCACAAGGGGGCCACGTTTAGGAGAATCGCGAATGGAAGAGGCACGGTAAAGAAATTCCCCCCGAGAGGCGAACGAGACTGACTTGAAGATTGGTAAAAGGAATCTCTCCGGGTATCCTCGAGCTCGCAGCCGAGCAAAGAAGAGGGCGCGGGAGTTGTAAAAGTCAGTACGAGAAGATGAGCGCAGTAGGAAACGATGAAGTTCACTGCGAATGAAACCCTGTTTGGTTGTACGGGTATGGTAAGACCTGAAAGGAAGGTATAAGTACCGATTCATGGGTTTTTGAAACAGCTTCACATCCAGAATTCCGGTTTTGCTGAAGCGTTCCCCCTTGAAAAAGGTCACATCCAAAAAGTCCATGGTGGACTCAGAGAGGACCCAGGTCAGACGAATTGACGGGTGAAGAGAGTCGAAGCGCTCTTTCAGCCGTTGAAATTCTTCCCGCCTCCCTTCCCATAAAATCAGACCGTCGTCGATAAAACGAAGGTGGAGGGCAGGAGGTGAAGGGATGGATGAGTGTAGTTGAATGTCCAAAAAACTCATGAAAAGAACCGCGAAGCAGACTGCGACTGAGGTTCCCATAGCAGTGCCGTGGATTTGGCGGAAAAATCTGCCGTTGAAAGAGACATAGCTGTTAAACATAACCCATCGAAGTAGGCGGGTGATTAACGGGGCTAAAGGGTGTCTTGCTTTCTGTAAAAAATAGGAAACAGCGTCAATGCCATCCAGTAAAGGAATAGAGGGGTAGAGAGATTCGACGTCATATGAGGCAAGGAAAAGGTTGTTCGAAAAACGCCGTTGCTCAAGCTGAAGTATAAGGCTCTGAGAATCTTTAACGTAAGTCGTCTGCTCCAGCACTAAGGGTCTTAGAACAGAGTCAAGCCAGCGAGAGACGTTGGATGTGACTTTTGAGTCGACTCAAAAGTCACCTCGTTACTATGGCACACGACATTTTTTCATCAAGGAGAGCTATAATCGCATGGAGATTACCTAAGAGAGTTGGCAGTTATTTGATTTCTGCTAATAAGTGTTAGACTACAGTAGTTTTGTTGCTGTTACACTTTTTCTCTCATCTCGCTTTTGCCTGTTGTTCCCGTACTCGCCGCAGCGAAGATTTCCCGCGCGGGCCTGAGTCTAGGATGACATTTTCTAGGCATATAAAGTAGTACGCGTTCAGTAGATCGCTTGTGGTCTGAAGAAGGCATTTTAGCCGAAACCGGTTACCACCGTGATTTTTATACAAGCATTTTTTACAAAGTACTACTGACATTTTACAGGTGTTGAACCCAAGTTGCTGCCACGTATTAAAGCAATGGCACCTAACTGGTGTCCACTTCCGCTGATACCTGATACTACTGCGATGGCCAACTACACATTTGTTGCAACCAATGCAACCAACACCAATGCAAACCAAGACAACACCAAGATTATCCACGCTCAACGTCACGCGCGTCTCTCGAAGTCCAAGAACACGAGAGCCAGCCGTGATGATAAAGAGCTGGCTGGAGTCCTGAAGATTTCAGAGTCTCCTTCTTTTCGATCGAGCAAGAGAAAAGCCTGCGACACTTCAGTCCCTGCTTCTACTTCTGCAGCAACCGTCCCTGCTATCAGACCTGCCGTTGAGCCCGCTGAAAGGCCTTCGAAGGAACCTGAATCTGCAACCATGGCGACGCTGCGACAAGAGTCTGCTCATCAGATCCACGACACTGTCATGCTGGATTCGTTCGATTTTCTTGGTGACATTAACAACCTTTTCCTTGAAAAGCAGGCGACGCCTACCTGCCTTGAGGATTTTAAGCTGCAAGCTGTTAAGGATTTCAAGAAGAATTTCCTGAAATACCGGACTCTGAGCCTGCAGTACACCTTTATGGAGGAGCAGAAAACTAACGGGATCATTCCCCATAGTATTCGGATCAAGCCTTTCGCTTTCGTCTGCCACTCCGAAGAACTCCGTCAGGAAGCCGATAAGGAACTCCAAGCCGCCTGTTTGAACTACTGCAAGGGAGCACAGGACGTTCTGATTTCAATGAAGAAGAAAGCTGCTGAGCAGGCACGCAATGATACTGCTGCTGTTTACCAGCGTCTTCAGGATCAGATCGCGAACTACATCAACCTTGCTAAGAAGACTGACATCGGCACCAAAAACTCGAAGCTGACTGACAACCTTACTTTTTTTAAGGATCGCGTGATTTCTGAGTTTAAGGACGCTATGTCGGTTTTTGTGATGGAGACTAACCTTTCGGAAATTCATGTGAAGGAGCAGAAGAAGGAGATTGATGAGAAAAAGGCTGCTGCTGCTGAGGAAGCCGAGAATCTGCCTGTTGATCCCTCCGTTCGTGAGATCGCCAAACAGGAGGTTGCGAAGGCTGTTGCTAAGCTCAAGTTTACTCCTCCTCCTCATCACCGCCGTGCCGCTGCTAACAACGCTGCTAACAACGCTGCTAACAACAATGACAAGAAGAAGAACATGAAGCAGAAACAGGTGAAGCAGACGAAGCAGAAGAAGACTTTCCCGGTTAAGAATAACCGGAAGCCTTTTGCCGTCAATGCTGCTAAGAAGCCGAACACCGCTGCTGCTAAGAAACCGACCAATGGGAAGAAGCGCAAGAATGGGTCTACTAACCATTCTGGTCGCGCTTTCACGAAGGCTGCAGGACGCAGCGTGAATCACCCGACGAAGAAGACCTCTCCGGCAAAAAACGGGGGAGGTTCCGGCCGCGGCGTAACTGCTCGACAGTAATCAACGACGTCCACGCTTACGCACTGATCATCTTCGGCCGACAAACTGAGAATCAGCTGCGTTGCCGTGTGACGAACCGCGGAATTCACAACTTCAGTGATCATGTCTTCACCCGTGACGAACTAAACCTTTTGAGCCTCGGTTTCAAATTCATCCCAACTCCATCCATCCGATCCATTGCTAGCGTAGACGAGGAGCTTGTTTCTTTCATTAGGAGCATTCGAACCATGTATCTTTTCGGAGGATCTAATCTCGTCTCTGATTATCCAGGCTATAAATTCCCAAGGAGAACGAATTGGAATCCACCGCCAGCCTCAGCCGAGATCGAAACAGCCCTAGCGGTTTTTAAAGACTCGGTTATTAAGGACATCTGCGGACGACCGTATCAGAGACATCCCCGAAAGAACTATGTTCCCGTTCTCCGTCGCCTTGCTAGCAATCCTAACCTCATTTTTAAGCCTGCAGATAAAAACCTCGGACTAACAGTGATGAGCAGGGACTTTTATCAAGACCAATGTTTTAAACATCTTCTTAATAATAAAGTCTACCGCGAATACTCTACAGTCCCGATTAAAGACATCCTGCAAGGCCTTCATTCTATTCATTCCGACTATGAGCCGCTTCTACCTAAACGGATTTGGACTTCTTTTTTCAATAAGCCCACTAACGGCTGGAAGGTACCTGCCTTCTACGTTTTATTGAAGATCCATAAAAAAATCCCTGCTGGAAGACCTATAGCGGCCTGTCATTCCTGGAGTGGGGAGGGGAGTGGGGAGCGAGGGGACAGGGGAGGGGAGAGATTGGGGCAAGCAAGGTATGGGTGGGTCTGGCAGGGTTTGGCGTGCATGAGCAAGCAAGGCACGGAGGTGAGCCTGCAGCAGTGGCCGTGGAAGCTGCGAGTGTTGTTCCTCAAGCCATATGTGCAGGTAGTGGGGGGGTTGGGGGTGGGAGGCGGAGCAGGGGAAAAGAAAGGGCAGGGGGAGGGAGAGAGTGCGTGCAGGTAGCGAAGGGAGTGGGAATGGGGAACAGGATGAATACAACGGGGCATGGCAGCATTCGAACTTACCGTAAGAAGGGAAAAAGGGGGAAGGGGTTGGATTTGTTGCTTAGATGCCATGTCACTTCCGTGGCATGACGTGCAAGAATGCTGCAGCCCCCAAATGTCTAATGTTCACTGAACTTACCTTTCCACTACATTCGTTGCCATGCACTGGCAGTTGGCATCTGTCAGAGGCCTATTGAGTTCAGCGTCGGCGATCCCCTTTCCCCTCTCACAATCTATCATGTGATCATCTTGCATTGCATCTTCATGCTCCCCTTCCGGTAAAAAAACTAAAAGTCGCGCCTCTCAGCTGCGCCTCTCAGCTGCGCCTCTCAGCTGCGCCTCTCAGCTGCGCCTCTCAGCTGCGCCTCTCAGCTGCGCCTCTCAGCTGCGCCTCTCAGCTGCGCCTCTCAGCTGCGCCTCTCAGCTGCGCCTCTCAGTCGTGCCTCTCAGTCGCGTTTGACTCCCTCGCGCCTCTCTGGGTGGTACTGTGACTCACTCATCGTTAACCACTCCAGTGGTTACCAACTTACAAACAGCTTCACATCGCATTTCCCTGCACCCATACCATACCCATCCACTCGCAGTCGCGCCTCTCAGTGGCCTTTGCGTTCAACAGCGCCCGGCCTCTCTCTGGTTGCACAATCCATTACATCTCCATATTCTTCCTGTCTTCCCCATCCACTCGCAGTCGCGCCTCTCAGTGGCCTTTGAGCTTGACTTTGCCGCCCCTCTCTCGCGCCTCTCTGCTTGGTACTTTGACTCGCTCATCGTTAACCACTCCAGTGGTTACCAACTTACCAACAGCTTCACATCGCATTTCCCTGCTCCCCTTCCCATCCACCGCCAGTCACGCCTCTCTGCTTGGTACTTTTACTCACTCGCCTTCAAGCCGCCCCTTTTCCTGTCTCACAACCCATGACCTGACATTCGTCTATTGCGTTTCACTGCACCCTTTCCCATTCCTATTACAGTCGCGCCTCTCAGTGGACTTTGAGTTTGACTTTGCCGCCCCTCTCTCGCGCCTCTCTGCTTGGTACTTTGACTCGCTCGCCTTCAAGCCACCCACTGTGGTGGTTACCAACGGCTACGACAACATCCCCAAGATGCTCATGCAGGTGAGGGGGGAGGAAGAGAAGGGGGTATAGGGTGGGGAGAGGGGGGGTTGTCCTGAGAGGCCCAGAGATCAGGCTGGTGGTTACCACTGGCTTTGACATGATCCCCAAATGCTCATGCAAGCGGGGGGATGGTTTGGTTGGGGAGTGAAGGGAACGAGGGAGATTGTCTAAGGGCCAGATGTCAGGTGGAAGGGAACGAGGGAGATTGTCTAAGGGCCAGATGTCAGGTGGAAGGGAACGAGGGAGATTGTCTAAGGGCCAGATGTCAGGTGGAAGGGAACGAGGGAGATTGTCTAAGGGCCAGATGTCAGGTGGTTAGCAATGGCAGGTGGGGGATGGGGGATGTGTGGCTGGGGTGGCGGGGAGGAAAGCGGGAGTATTGAGAGGCCCAAAGATCAGACTGGTGGGTATCAACAGATAGGACAAGATATCCACGATGATGGAGGTGTGGGGGATGGGAAGAAAGCATGCCTCGGGTGGGAAGGCAATGGGGAGTTCAAGGGCTTGTGCGTATCATTGTTGAGCCCTTGAGACCTCAACAAGCCGCCCACCATGGGGTCACCTACACTTATGACAAGATCCCCAAGATTCCCATGCATTCTCCGCCCCTCTCGTCTCCTCTCTTCTCCTCTCCTCTCTCCCACCACACCACACCCCCCACCTTCCCCCACCCACCCATAACCCGTACACATCACAGGAAGCAGTGGCGGCAGGCGCTGTTCTAACCCTCAACTTTGAAGTAACTGCCATCTCACAGTCCTCCACTGGCGTTCAAATCACTGGAAAGGACACCGCCACCGATGCCATTACCACGCTGGACGCCGACGTGGTGATCGTCACAATCCCTCTCGGCGTGCTCAAGGCCAACACCATCGCCTTCTCTCCGTCGCTCCCCCCCCGTAAAACCGGCGCCATAGCCCGCCTGGGAGTGGGCGCAATCGCCAAGATCTTCTTCTTCTTCAACCAGACCTTCTGGCCGGTCAACGTGGACGAATATTTCATCGAGGATGCGCAGCTGCCCGCGAATCGTGGGCGGTGGGTTGACTGGGTGAACCTGAAGCGCGCGTGGGGACAGACGGCATTGGAAGGTGTGGCTCTGGGGGAGTATGCGGAGCGGATGGCTACGATGAGTGATGAGGAGGTGATTAACGACGCCAAGGCAAAGATGGCGCGCATGTTCCCGCAGTATCGCAAGAAGCCCGTGGAAGCACTGGCGACTTGGATCCAGCGCTGGACCGCCGAACCGTATTCGCGGGGGGCGTACAGCTATGCGCGCGTGGGCGTGCGGGGGAACGAGGATCACTGCACGGACTATGATGTGATGGCGCTGCCCGAGGGGAGGGTGCTGTTTGCGGGGGAGCACACCATCTGGCAGTACCAGGCCACCGTGCACGGCGCCCTGCTCTCCGGCGTCCGCGAGGGCAAGCGCGTCCTCAAAAACTTCTGAAGGTGGTGCTTTCGTTCCTGGATGCAGTAATCCCACCGTTGCATCTAAGCAGGAGGTGGTTGGACGGGAGGGAGAGGCCAAGCGCGCCCTCTGGAACTTCTGAGGAGTTTCAAGCATCTGAAGCTTCCAGTTTTTTTGTGCTTCAGTGCAAAGAGGTAGTTGATATCTGAAGGGTGTATCAGTACCAGTAGTAGGTGTGTTATGCAGGTGCCACATGCCATCCGCTGTGTGAGTAGGACCATAGTTGTGTCATTGTGTATGCCATTTTTATGCTAAATTGATGTATTTGCATTCCGGATGTTGAAATTAAGAGGTGGCTAGAGTAGCGGAAATACTCTAGGAAATAACGACGTCCCTACGGTGGGGCAATGGTCCCTCAGAGGTAGCTCTCGTGGCTTGTAACTTGGTGCCAGAGCGGCGGCCGAGGGTAGGCCGGACACAAGGATGAGAATTGTGGAATAAGAATAATGCAATACATTCAGTTATATAGGAGTCATAGCAGGCAGGCAGTTACCAAGGCCCTACTGTATTACAGTTGCGCTGTAACGTTTCGGTTGCCCAGTTATTGTCGAGCTGGCGAGACCCTTCAGCTTCGGCAAGGGCGCGGTATTCTACTGCACCCCCCGGGGCAGTTTCGCGTCTTGTAGATACTGCCTCCTGCCCAAATCTGACCCTTCAGCTGCCACGCGGGGCGCAACTACTTTACGCGGATGCGCCCCTGCAGCTCGGAACTTTGAGTCAATATACTTGATACTGAGGTGCTCGCTTCTGCACTTCGAACAGTGCACTGCATCTCCGTAAAAACATATTCGCAACACCTGACATGACAAGTCCAACTCTTTATGTGTTCGATATTAGGCATGGCGAATGGAACATAATGAAATTTCGATCTCGTATAAGCCCAGTCTGCGTCCTCGTGTGCACTTCTGTATGCTTTGATTACTTACATAACTTCTCGGATTCGTTTGTTCGCTTTTTTTTTTTAATGGTTTTGAAGCTTGTACCAGCTGTGTATTATACAGATTGTGCCGCATAAATGTAAAAGGATCTACGTTACATAAACAATCCATTTTGCTGTAGCTGTTACTCTTGTAGCGACGACACATGACATATGGCTGGGTGGCCTGATCACTCGCTGGCTGTGGCTCCTGACACATTCCAAATCTGCACATTACATCCTCATCAATCACCTCCTAAGGTAAGCCCTAGGCGGCCTTCTTGCACATTCGGCTGTTAAGTATAGGTAGATAAGCCGACCCTTGCATTTCGAGAAGATGCACCGAGGAACTAGCGTAACATATCATTGCACCGAAATTCGTTACGAGGTAGTCGCGCCGCATTTTCCGGCGACTCTTCCGTTCAAATCTCTGCTGGCAGTGTCACGGAATCGCACGCAGTCTCTAACGCGTCCATTCCAGGAATTGTCGCCGATGCGTCCCGCGCACTGGCATTCGGCGAATTTTGAAGTGGCTAATATAGGCCGGCATTTGGCGTGACCCAAGGAAGGTCACGTTCTCCTCCCCCCACCCCCCCCCCCATCGCAATCCGCCTCCCCTGTCCCGTTCCCCCGTCACCTTCCCCCCCATCCGTTCCCGTCGTCACATTTGGCGTTTTCCCGTCCCTCCTAGGTTCCGCCAGCTCTGTTGGTGCTGCTAGCGGGATGGGCAGAGAGCACCTACGATCCCCGTGATTCCACGAGATCCGTGTCGACAGTTACAGCGTTGACTTTTGAGTCCACTCAAAAGACATCCGTGTCAACAGCAGTTACAGCCAGTTGCGGAACAATCAAACTGTTACATGCCGCCTCCCCTCCGTATCAATTCCTCTAACCCCCCGCCCACCAACCTCTCCCCCCAAACTTCCCCCCCCCCCCCTCCCACCAACCTCTCCCCCTCTCCTCTTCCTTCTCCATCTGTCCGGCTGCCAGCCTGCCTGTCTGAGTGCCACGTGGTCTCCTCTCCCCGTCCTCTCCCCCCCCCCCCCCCCCCCCCCCGGCTCCATTCTTCCTCTTCCATCTACCAGCCCGTCAGGTTTCCATTTTGAGTGCCACGTGGCCTCCTCTCCCCGTCCTCCCTCCCCCCCCTCCCTGCTCCATTCTTCCCGTTCCATCTGCCAGGCCGTCAGGCTGACAATTTCAGTACCACGAGGCCTCCTACTGTCTCGAACCTAGTCTGCGACCTCCTTGAGATTCGTTAAGGTGAGATGGTAGCAAATAGTTCAAGCAAAAGACAGCTAATACTCCTTTTTTAGGGGCCTCAAAACTCGCCTTGCGATCCATTAAGGTGAGATGTTAGCACTTGAACCAAAAGAAAGCTGCTACTGGGAGCAGGCCTGCTTGCTAGTTTATTTAAACTTTTTTTCGAAGTATTGGTAGATGCTTGTGTATATAACTACATACACTTGTATGACTGTATTGGTAGATTACGTGGGTAGAAGTACATACACTTGTGGCGACTGGTCTTTCTGTGTTCCTGCTCCTCCATTCGACATCGGATGAACCAAGGATTGTCGTTGCTGCAGCCGCAGTTTCACGCGGCTCAAGAATCGAATCCCGCTAGTCTCCTTGCACTCTCATACCGCATTGCCCCCCGTTCCTTGTCCCGAATACGGTTCGTCCTTGTCGGAAGCAGATGGACGAGGAGCTGTTGCTACTGCAGCAGCAGTTTCAGGCGGCCCAGGAGGTGAAGGCGGCTGGTGTGCTTGCACGCATGCCTCATTGCCGCCCGTTCCTTGTCCCAAACACTACACAATGGCAGATGGACGAGGAGCTGTTGCTGCTGCAGCAGCAGTTCCAGGCGGCTCAGGAGGTGAAAGCAGCGACCAGGCTGTCGGAGAGGAACGTGGTGGAGCTGGTGTCCAAGCTCACTGCCATGGGGCTGCTGGGAGATGACTTGCTCTACTCGCTCAACGGCAAAGAGTACATCACACAGGTACAGACAGTACCCATCCATGGACTTTTGAGCCGACGCGGCTGTCGGAGCGGAATGTGGTGGAGCTGGTGTCCAAGCTCACCGCCATGGGGCTGCTGGGAGATGACTTGCTCTACTCGCTCAATGGGAAGGAAGGAGTACATCACGCAGGTACAGTAGTTATGTATTATCATACATGTACACTGTGTACATGCTATTTTCTACACCAATCTCACTGCCATGGGGCTGCTGGGGGACGACCTCCTGTACTCCCTCAATGGGAAGGAGTACATTACTCAGGTACAGTAATCATCTGCAGTGTGTAGTCTAATATGTATATATACTCTTATATATTATTAAACAAAGCTAGCTCACGCACATCTGTAGTGTGGGGTGCAGGTAGAAATGCTGGAAGCTATGATGCGAAAGACGCTCAGAGGACGCAGATCGAAATTTTTTCGGGCTGCCCCGATTTTTTTTTTTTTCCAGATTACGAATTTCAATCTCGCGATTTCGACGCGACTGTCGAAATCGCGAAATGTTGACCCCCCATTGCCCAATTCGACATTGAAAAACAGCCCCCCCCCCAACATTTCACAACCCCCCATGCAACAATTGAATTCCAAATACCTCTCAACCACTTCACATCTAGAAAACCCAACCAAGGTGCCTACCACCAAGCCCATTTAGCAATCCAACCAAGTCATTTCTCATTTCACCCACCCAACCAATTCCCTTTCGAAAACCCTAGAGGTTTTAGCCTACAAGCATAGCTTAGCTCCATTATGGCTTCCTCAAGCAACCCTACGTCATCTAACGCATCTAGGGATGTTCATGCCGAGGACGAGTCTCCCCCGCAGCGTTTCACTAGTGATGGGGTGGAGAAGAAACCGCAAAAGCCCAAACACCATATTTAATGGGATGAGATGACTGGTTGCCTGCATGCAGTGCTGTGGTGGTAGTTTAATAGTTTGCGTGTTCTTCGGTGATACGATGAACTGTGTATGTGACCTTGGGACATGTGTGTGACAATACGTGACTCACCTTAATCTTGAGATTTGGGGGAAAATTTGATGTTGGGGCCAAGTTTGCCTTGAAAGTGTGGAACGTTCCCCCCCCCCCCCCCCCCCCCCCCTCATCCCATGCCCTATAACAAGTTTTTTTGCCTGCCCGGGGGTTTTTTTTGCCTGCCCGGGACTGCGTCTTTTGGTGCGTCTTTCTGGTCCTGGTGAAGCGTCCTGCGTCCGGACGCATGCGTCCAGGACGCAGGACGCGTCTTTCGCATCATAGGCTGGAAGACGACTTGCTCTGCTGTATTCGGTGGATGGGAAAGAGTAGGCAGCAGCAGTCACAGGATTATCCCATGAGAGCTCTTTGCTTCTTCTTCCCCCTTGCCTCTTCCCCTTTCCTCAGGAGCGCCTGCAGCAGGAGGTGGAAGTGGAGGCACGGCAGCGTGGCAGGGAGGGAGTGTGGCAGGCAGCGTGGCAGGCAGCTATGTTGGAAAAGTCGCCAAAAACCATAAGCGCACTCCGTATAGTCGTTTACGAATATACGGTGTACGCAAGTCGTACGTATATTCGTTGGCGAAAGTTCGGGCTGACCCGAAAAAAAAACCAGATTTCAATAGTCGCGCACGAATTGCGAATGTGCGACGCGACTCAAAATGTACGCACGTCCCATCCCAATTTGTACGCACGTCCCAACCACATTGTCACCCACACCTGTCAAAATGTGGGGACGTGGGAAAAATTGAACCGCACTGCACCCTATGCTATCGCGCGACTCCAACACACAAACACGAATGTCGTCAACCAGCGTAGGTGGCTCAACCACATCCTGGACTATAAGGTAAGCTCTCATTCCCGTCATCTGTATTATCTCTCTCCTCGTTCATTCTCTCTCAACACTCCCGCTCACGTGCACTTGATGTCGACTCCTTCTGGTACTCCCGCAAGTGCCACTAGTGAGGCTCCTAGTGTTTCGAATGACGCGACCATGGCGGACGACGAGGATGTTCATGTGAACACCCATGTTATTTTTAAGCATTTCCTTACCTCTACCGAAGGTACCTCGAATGGTCCTGAGCGTACT